ATCCAGGCCATTTTTGATAGTTCTATTGTTTTGACAGTATGTATGTAGTATGTATTCCTACTTAAAAAAATACAAAAATGCGTAAGGATAGAAATGTGAAACATGCCAAATCCCACCTTCTAGGCCATTCTTAATATTTCATTTTTATTTGTTTTTGCACCTTCAGAATATTTTTTATTATTCAACTTCTGCATAATTTATTTTATCTTGTCTAGGAACCCATCATCCTAGCAACATAGAACACATTTCTCACCCTTTTCATTTTAATTTGCTTACCTCCTGGTCAGTTTTTGAACACACAAAATTGGTCATCACCTAGGTAGGAAGTCATATGGAATTTTTATCTTGATGGAAAATACCGTAATTCCCTTTAGACCATGAGACTCTTTGGGACTCTTTTCTAAAAAAAAAAAAAAAAAAAAAAAAGACTGATTTATTGGATCCCTAGATACATAGAGGTCATTTTTTGTAGATAATATTTTAAGCTTTCTGATAAGTCTTCTCAATCTCCACGATCTCCTCTTTGGTCATCTTCTAAAATGTTAGCAGTAACTTAGAAGAATTAGAACCAATTGAATTGCCAAACTCAATTGATTTCAGGACACAGAGCTACTCAGAGACTTTAGTCTTATAAAGCTATATACATTCTAAATATATAAGGAGCTCACATAAGTCTATAAGAAAATGAAATTGCCCAATAGAAAAATGGGGCAAGGATATAAAAACATATTTTACAAAAGAAGAAATATAAACAACAAATATATTATTTTAATCAATCCTTATTCATAATCAACAAAAAGTAATTTAAACTAGATTATTATGACTCAATGGAATATTAAGAATTTTTTAAATTGCTAATATTTAAAGCTAATGAATGTATAATGAAATGAATTCATGCTGGCAGAGGAAAGCAATTTGGAAATTTGTATTGAAAATCTTATTCTTTATACCCTTTGATGCAAAAATCCCCTTCCAGAATCTGGCCTAAGGAAATAATGACATACTAAGACAAAGGTTTAGCAACAGAAATGCTTATTATGGTACTATTTAATAAAAAGTAAAAAAGAAAACATTTTAAATTAGGGCTTAGATTAAGTAGAGAATGTCTATATATATGATGAAATACTATGAGTGCTATTAAAATTGTTTATGAAAAATTTTAATGACATGGTAAAATGAAAACACTGTATCTTATAAAAAAAGAACATAAAATTGTATATTTAGGCTGTTAATAGCTGTGTGAAAATATTCATATAAAATTCCGGAAGTAAATATATCTGATCAAAAATTAACAGAGGTTATTTCTGGCGGCACCATCATTGGCTGATTTTTAATTGATGTCTTTCTACTTTTTATAATATCCTTTCTTTCAAATTCTCAATAGCAAAATAATAAACTTATTCTAAAAAAATCAATATACCAGAGCATTCTTCTTACTATCTCTCACCACTCACAAGTTATTTTGGTCATGCTGGGTATCTTGGAAAAACTGTCCTGATTTTGTTTCCTTCCTTTCCTCATGAAGTAGCTGGTCATCAGTAAGTCGTGACATTTATAGTCTTCAGAGTTCCTGCCCTTGGCGATGTTTCCCAAATCCTGTATGCTTTTGTCTGGGGCCGGGACTGGGGTCCTCTTAAGTCCCTAAGAACTATGTACTTTCCCTCCTCCTACCCTGCTAAGTAGAAGAAGCAGACCATGTTTTTACCTGGAGGCTACCAACTCCTAGCTACAAATCAAAGTAATTGGCTGGAGTTGGTCAGAAATACAGGGAGGGCACATTCCTCAGAAATAAGAAAATGATGAGTTGGTTCTGTCTGGACTCATCTTCCCATCCCTTTGTTCTTTGTCTCTAACATTACGTCCTTGATGACTTATTGGTTTCTGAGATGGGAGAGTTGAATAAAGTCTTAGTTTTATCTGGTTCAGATCAGGACACTATATTTATTATAGAAATACTGAGGACATTAATAATCAAAATGAATTGTGTTTGGAGTGGTTGCTATCACAAGACACCTAATAAAATACTAAATTCTGAGACTGTGAGTCAGACCCAAACGCAAGGCTGCTGACAGTGTGGTGCTGTGAAGCAGGGGTGTGCCCATTATTTCCCTTCATTATTTGGTATTTTATCTTGATGGTGGGGAGGAATACTGCCCTTTATTCATTCTCCCAGCCTAGAAAATAATTATAGAAATGCCCAACAGTAATATTTTTTACGAAAGGCTCTCACATACACTGTGTCATTTAAGAGAGAAAGTCAACGTGGTGAAGTAGGAGGAATTCAGGTTTTGGACTCAGACAGACCTGGATTTAAGACCTACCTTTGTCCGATAGTGCTTGTGGGACCCATCTAGAAATTGGAAATAATGTCTACTTTGTAGGTTTCATATGAAAATGATCAGGACAACTACCTGACTTGTTCATTCTCTTATTCACTGTTCAAATGGTCATGTGATTGTTCAACCTCGGCAATCAAAGAAATATGAATTAAAACAATATGTGGCATTTAGAGGGAACCAAATCAGACATTATGGCTTTTTACATAGAATTTGCAGTCTAATTGGTTGAGATAAACTTTGACCACGTAATAATAAATAAAAATTGCCACTGTGATAAATGCTATAAAGGATGGTTTTCTTATCCTAGTCAAGTAGGAAGTTATGCTTAACACTGAGTTCTGAGGGATGTGTAAGAGTCCCCCAGGGTAGAGGGGAGGGACGAGCATTCCAGGAGAGGAAACAGCATGTGCAGGGCTAGGCGTGTGGCTCATAAGTGGACAGAGAGAAAGCAAGGGACAGGGTGACAGGTATTTGGAAAGCAGGGGATTGGCCAGGCTGTGCAGGGAATTTGGGTGAGTTAACAAGTTTATCTTTATTTCAAGAACAATGTGAAGTCATTGGAGAGTTTTTAACCAGTTGGGAATATGATTGTACTTCATTTTAAAAATTGTGGCACCGTTGTTACCACTAGGTCAGAGGGGATCCAGAGAAAGTGCAATCAGAGATCAGTTAAGAGACTAACTTAGTAGTTCGGCAGAGAGATCATGGTAGCTTGGATTAGGATGAGGATGATGGAGACTATAGAAAAGTGAATAAAATCCAGAGATACAGTATTTAGGAGGCAAAATAGAACTTGGTTATAGAATAAATGTCTACACTGAGGAGAATGTCTACAACGTCTCCTAATTTTCTGGATTACATAACCCAAAGCCATAAAAACAGTCTGAGTGGGGAGGACCAGGTGTCCCTTGTCTGGATATGTTGAAGTTTGGAGTATCTTTGAGATATCCAAGAAAAGAGTTAACTAGGTAGTTGGCACATAGTGAGTTTTTAATAAAATGACATGTATTCATCATATTATGTAAACATTTTATATTTACAACAATGCAAGAAACTGTCTATACACTGTTCCATAGGTTAGTACTTCCTATACTGGTCATGGTCCCTAGTTGTAGATAACTGAATCCAATCCAGCTATTTGTAGCAGGACTATATTTATTAAAGAAAATTGGTTAACTCACATAATCTACAATAGAGCTAGGGGACTAGCTTTGGATATTTCTTAGCCATGAACACCATAGTTAGGGGCAACACACTCAGGAAAAATGCCCAACCACACCCCTGGACAGAGGCAACACACTCAGAAAATTGCCCAACCACACCCCTGGATGTGGGCGCGGTGGCAACGCCATTCCAAGATGGCGCCGCGCCTGTCAAACCCTGCTGTTAGTCTGACAAACAAGTGCTCAGCGCATGTGCAGAGTTTGGTCTCCTCCCTTCCAAGTGCTTATCCAATCAGACAATGCCCAGTGTACTTACTGCCTTTATAAGCAGCCGCCGAGAACGCCTCGGCGTCTTCCGCATGTAACCAGTTAAGCAATCCCCATTAAAGCGCTGTCAGAAGAACTCCAGTTGCCGCGTTTTCCTTGCTGGCGAGGCGGGCGCGACACCTGGACTGTTTGGTACCTATTGAGCTTAAGGTTGAGGCCACAGAACTCTGGCAGCACCCAGGATGGGACATCTCTGTCAACTGCTTGCCGAAAAGCTGATATTCCCCTGAGTATGGTGTGCCACTACACATTGCTCACTTCTGCATCCAAAATTCGGGTTACTTTGTATGATAGGTGTACACCAGATAATATGTCAGCATCCAGCTGCAAAGGAATCTCATTCAGGAAAGCAAAGTTAGAAGAGGCTTGATGGGTTTTGATGGAGCCAATTTAAAGTATCTGCTGGGCCTCCTCTTTGGTGCTTTTACATTCAAGCACATTTCTCTTCCCATGATTATACTTAGAAACAACGGCCTCTCTGCCCAACATAGTACAACCATCCCCCATGCAGCAAATGTGTTACCCTCCTGTCAGTGAATCTCTCTCTTTT